CCCTGTGTATATAACTTGTTGTTTGTGTAAAAATAAAGGAGTTGACTTCCTGTTTAAGAAGAGTCGGGTGCTGTCTATTTCCTGAGGGACACTGGCAGACAATATCACTGCGTTAAATGATTCAACAGCATTGTCAGCTGGCAAAGACATACAGGTAAGCCGGAGCTTTGTAGGTCACTCTACAGCATAGAAAAGCTTAGAAAAGAAAGTATTTAGTAGAACAGTCTGCAGAGTATAAATGCAATGGTGAAGGAACATTTAACAGGTATTGTTGTAAAGCCTTTCCTTTCACTTTAAAGGAATATAAAAAGGCAATTATTTTTTAATTAAAATAAATAAATGTTGTTATGCTAACCTACTCTGTGCAAGGATATTGCACAGAGTTTTCACTTACCTCCTCTTTGGTGGTCCCCCACTAATGATGCCCACCCCTTTTACCACTGGGTGCCCACATAGCAAACTGTGCGCTGTGGGGGCACCCATATGGCATGCTTCCGATCCGGGCTGTGTGCATCCATACACACAGTGCCAGTAAGCTCCACCCCCTCCTCAGAGGAGTATGACTAACCCCAGCAGGATCCTATGGCTCCTGTTGCTGCCAGTGTTTCCTATAAGACCAGGAATAGAAAAGGGCAGTGCTGCAGCTGGGGACAGTGCTGGATTAGTGAGAGGATTCAGATAAGTTTTTAGGGTAGGGTAGGTTTACAGAATGCATTAACCATTTGACCTCCAGGTGATTTTACCCCTTTCATGACCAGGCCATTTTGTTACTGTTTGGCACTGCATTAATTTAACTGGCAATTGCTCGGCAAATAGATCTTTCTTTTGGTAATATTAGATCATCACTGGGATTTTTTTTTCATATTAAAAAAAAGGTAACATATAAAAACAAATTCTTTGTGAATTTAAAGGAAAAGTTTTTAGGGTGGAACATGTAACATGTTCCCAATGCTGCAGCCACTGCCCGACTCCCCCCTCCCTGTGACACCATTACAGGGAGAAGTGTTACTGTACAAGTTGTCACTGTTTGAAATCAGCATGGCCGTCTGGGGCTCTGCCCACATGGCTACGTCATTCATTCACAGAGTTCTGCGAATGAACTACAAGTCTTTGCAGCTGTTGACTTCATGGATTCATCCTGTCAGTATATAACTTGCCCGTACATCCCGTATGATCGAGCAGATATACTGACAGGTCTGCAGGAGACCTACATGGCATCAGTGATCTGCTGATTGCTGGTGCAATGCTTTACAGGCCCCTGCAACTAAAATAATAAAAATGCATTTTTTTTTTCTTCCCCCTAAGTAAAAAAAAATAAATGTGCATTTATTATTTTTTGTCAAATTGTGAACTTATTTAACCACTTCCTGCCCACATGACGTCATATGACGTTCTGAACTTTGTGTGGGGATATCTGGATGATGCTTGCAGCTACAAGCATTATGAACCAGAACCTCCCTGCAACTCCCTATTTTTTTGGCATAGGCCAGAATGAGGTCAACAGTGCCCGCAGTCTCCAGGTCACAGATCCACTCTGAAGCATTTGCCATGCCATCTGGTAGGGGGTGGTGTGGCCATCTATTCATAGTTTTTACAGCCATGCCTCTCCTCCACCCCCCCTAGATGACTGCTGATATGCGTCATCACAAAGCCATTGCAATACTCAAGACCCAAATAGCATCCCCTGGTGACAATAGAAGATGATTGCACAGGACCCAGTGTGCCACAAAGAACAATACTGGCTCATCAGGCGTGGGAATATGATTTTTATAGCACAAGCTAGCTATACAGGTAAGGGAGAGGTGGCTTTAACCTAGAACTACAAGGTAAAACTTGTAAATGGTTAGCACTTCTTCCTTGCAGCACTAGGGTCGCTGGTTTGAATCCCAACCACGGCACCACCTGCCTGGAGCTTGCATGTTCTCCCTGTGCCTGCGTGGGTTCCCTCTGGGTACTCCGGTTTCCTCAGACACTCCAAAGACATGCTGGTAGGTTAATTGGCTTCTGTCTAAATTGGCCCTAGTATGTGTATGTAAGAATGATAGTTAGGGGCCATAGACTGTACACCCCTTGAGGGTTAGGGACTGATGTGACTGTACAATATATATGCAAAGCGCTGCGTAAATTGACAGCGCTATAAATACCTACTAGTACCTGTAAGGGTCCTTTCACAGAGGCATTCCGTTCTTTTCATCAGTTCTGCCACGTTTTTTCCCAAGAAAAATCAGATCCGTGCACAACAGTTTTCATCCTTTTTTTACATCCTTTACCAAAGTCCGTTTACAGCCATTCGTTTTTTTGTTTTTCACAGAAGAAAAATAGGGTTTTCTTCCATTCAAAAAAAGTATGTTAACGGATGTGGACATTAATGGATGTAAACGGATAATCATCAGATAGTCCATAGAAACACATGGTTGTACGTTTTTTATCTATAAACGGACAGATGAAAACAGACATACGGAACACCCGTGTGAAGGAGCCATAATAAAGTAAGGCAGGGTTATAAAACCCATCAAGTTTTTTTTTTTCCATCTGTGTCCCATTGAGGAATTTTTTCTTTGCTTCCTGCACCCTAGACCAAAACAGGAAGTGAGAGGAAATCTCTCCAATGGGAAGGAAAACAGATCCCTGGTTGTCACCAGAACTAGCATCCCCATTGGAAGATTTCTATTCCTGTTCTGGTGACAACCCAAAATGTGAGATCTATTTTCCCGTCCCACTGTGTGATAACCGTAAACAAGATAAAAAGAGAGGGTGGATCTCCCTAACAGGGACACAGAAGGCAATACATACCTGACAGGGGGTCTAAACTAAAAAAAAACACACACATACACAAGTTGTTGCACTTTATCCACTTGCCTAGCGGGCACTTATACCCCCTTCTTTACCAGGCCAATTTTCAGCTTTCAGCGCTGTCACACTTTGACAATTGTGCGGTGATGCAAGATTGTAGCCATATGAAATTTTTTATCATTTTATTCTCACAAATAGCGCTTTCTTTTGGTGGTATTTAATCGCCGCTGGGCGCTTTACTTTTTGAGCTATAAACAAAAAAAATTTGAAAAAAAAAAGTTTCTTTGTTTCTATTATAACATTTTTCAAACAGGTAATTTTTCTCCTTCACTGATGTGCGTTGATGAGGCGGCACTGATGGGCAGCACTAATGAGGTGGCACGGATAGGCGGCACTAATGATGGGTACTGACTGGCATCACTGCTGGGCACTGACTAGCACAACCGCTGGGCACTGACTGGCAGCACTGCTGGGCTGCACTGCTGGGCACAGGTGAGTGGCACAGGTGGGCAGAGCTAGTGGGCGCACTGCTGGGCACAGGTGGGTGGCACTGCTGGGCACCGACCATCAGGGCCCCGATGATCGGTGCTGATCCCTGCTCTAACAACTACCGGTTCTTGGCAGTACTTTCCTCACGATCTGACAGCGTGAGGAAAGTGCAGCCAAGAACCGGTAATTGCATTTCCCGGTGATCAGCGCGTCATTGGACACGGCTGATCATGTGGTAAAAGGCCGCTGTGATTGGCCTTTTACCACATCACGTGATCAGCTGTGTCCATAGGACACAGTGATCACGGAGATCGCCGGGTGTGCGCCCACAGGGGCGCGCGTTCTGGGAAGACGTCATTTGACGCCCACCCAGAACTGGCCGGCCGCAGTGCAGCCGTCATTCGGCTATCTGCGGTTGGCAAGTAGTTAAAGTCCCTCTTTAACTGCCTCCGTATAAGGAAATGACGGGAGGGCAATGGCTCTCTCGTTCTGGGATGATGTCATATGATGCCCTTCCACTCTAGCTGCGCATGCACGGCGCTCGGTGGTGTCCCTAGGACACAGCGGATCACAGTAAAGAACTGAAGATATAGGCACTATCATATGATCAGCTGTATCCAATCACAGCTGATCACATGAAATGCCAGTTATCGGCAGTCCTCTCCTCACACTGACACTGACACGCGTGAGGAGAGGAGAGCCAGTAAGCGGCGTTCCTCATAGGGGATATCACACTGGTCATCAGTGCCCTGATGATCAGTGTAGCCCCATCAGTGCCCATAATTGCAACATACTAGTGTCCATCAGTGCCCATCAATGACACATATCAGTGCCCATCAGAGCTGCCTTTCAGTGTCAACTATCAATGCCACCTTTGAGCACCATATATGAGTGCTGCCTGTCAGTGCCCACCAGTGAAGGAGAAAAAAAATTTAACTTATTCACAAAATCTTAAACAGAAAATAAGAAAAACATTTGTTTTTTCAAAACGTTCAGTCTTTTCTAGCTTGTTTAGCAAAACAATAAAAAAAACAGTTGTGATTAAATACCACCAAAAGAAAGCTATTGTCTCAGAAAAGTGATACAAATTTTGTTTGGGTACAGTGTTGCATGACCGCACAATTGTCAAAGTGCGACAGCGCTTGTCATTCAAAATGTGAACACTGAAAGCTGAAAATTGGCCTGGGCAGGAAGGAGTAGAAGTGCCCAGTAGGCTAGTGGTTAATTCCTTATGGGGAGTGTAGCTGAGGACATGATGGAGAGAAGCTAAAAGGTATCCCTGTACCATCTCCCAGGAACACAGACGTTCAGAGAGGACAAACCAAGAACGAAGTGTAGTGTGTACTCACCAACGTCCTCGTTGAACCTTTTGAGAGGCGCCTTCGGGAAGGACATTGTCAATGCACTACGATCTACACACCGCACTAATCAAAGTACACAATCTCAGCTCCAAGCTCTTGTTTAAAAACTGCGCACAGAACCTTCACCAATCACCAACCAGCAGGTGGCCACGCCTCAAGTTTGAACTTTAGGCCAATTACACGAAAAACAACAAGCTCCGAACAGCCAATAGGAAACCCCTTGTGCAATGACTGGCGCAGGCTAAAGAATCACAGCATGCGTCCTGTGACGCCTCAGTGCTGGTGCATACCGGGAAATGTAGTTCTACAGAGCGGCAACTACGCATGTGCATCCGCATCGAGGTTTTTCCAGCTGGGATGTCAGTGCACTTCGAAGAGAAAAGCGGGGTGGTGCCGTGTAAGACTCCGTGGGGATGCTGGTACCAGACCATGGAGGAGGTCTTCATTGAGGTGCAGGTACCGCCTGGCACACAGAGCCGGGATATCAGATGTAGACTGGGGATCAGAGACATAACGCTGGCCGTGCGGGACAAGCAGATCCTAGAGGTACTGCAGGGCGTACTGATTGGTGGGTTATGTGGGCGGGGGAGCTGTGCCAGTCCCCCATGTGAACAAGACTTTAACCACTTCAGCCCCAAGCCATTTCTGCCACTTTGTGTTTACATTTTAAAATCAATATTTTTGGATAGAAAATGTCTTCGAACCCCCAAACATTTAATTTTTAAAGCCGATGCCCTAGGGCAGTGATGGCGAACCTTTTTGAGCCCGAGTGCCCAAACTGCAACACAAAACCAACTTTTTTATTTCAAAGTACCAACACTGGAATTTAACACTTGCCTATCGGGCACTTCTACCCCCTTCCTGCCCAGGACAATTTTCAGCTTTCAGTGCTGTTGTACTTAACAATGACAATTGTGCGGTCATGCAACACTGTAACCATATGCAATTTTTATCATTTTTTCACACAAATAGAGCTTTTTTTGGTCGTATTTAATCACCACTGGGTGTTTTATTTTTTGCACTATAAATGAAAAAAGAGCAAAAAATTAAAAACATAAAAGGTTTCCTTTGCTTCTATTCTAAAATTTTGCAAATAGGTAATATTTCTTCTTTGATGTGCGTTGGTGAGGCTGCACTGATAGGCAGCACTGATGGGCATTGATGAGGCGGCACTGGTGAGCATTGATGAGGAGGCACTGATGATGCACTGATATGCAGGAAATGATGGGCACTGATAAGCGGCACTGACTGATAGCACCAACTAGAGGCACTGACAGACGGCACTGACAGGAGGCACTGCTGGGCATCATTGATGGGTGGCACTGATGGGCAGCACTAATGAGGTGTCACAGATAGGTGGCACTGATATGCAGCACTGATTGGTGGCACTGATAGGCGACACTGATAATGGGTACTGATAGCACTGATAGGTGGCACTGACTGACATCACTGCTGGGCACTGACTGGGACAACCGCTGGGCACTGACTGGCAGCACTGCTGGGCTGCACTGGTGGGCACAGGTGGGTGGCACTACTGGGCACAGGTGGGTGGCACTACTGGGCACAGGTAGGTGGCATTTCTGGGCACAGGTGGGCGGCACAGGTGGGCGCACTGCTGGGCACAGGTGGGCGCACTGCTGGGCACAGGTGGGCGGAACTCGTGTGTGGCAGTGCTGGGCACCGATCATCAGGGCACTGATGATCAGTGACCCTGATGATCGGTGCCGTTCCCTGCTCTGACAACTGCCGGTTTTCGGCAGTACTTTCCTCACGATCTGACAGCGTGAGGAAAGTGCAGCCGAGAACCGGCATTTGCATTCAGTGATCAACTTGTCATTGGACGCGGCTGATCACGTGGTAAAAGGCCACTGTGATTGGCCTTTTACCACGTCACGTGATCAGCTTTGTCCGGAGGACACAGCGATCACGGAGATCGCCCGGGGGTGCGCAGGAGAGCGCTTTCTTCCTCTTCTTCCTGGCGTGCCCACTGAGATGGCTCTGCGTGCCAGCTCTGGCACGCGTGCCATAGGTTCGCCATCACTGCTATAGGGAATAAATTGGTGGTTTATGCATTTTTTTTTGTAATGTCACACAGTATTTGCATACCAGTTTTTCAATTGCATTTTTGGGCAAAACTACACATTTTTTAAATTTTTATTGCAAAAAACCACAATACATAACCCAATTTTTGTAAAATATAAAAGATGATGTTATGCTGAGTAAATAGATACCAAACATGTCACACTTTAAAATTGTGCACGCCGATGCAACAGCGACAGTGTAAATTTTACTATTCATAGGCGATGCTTTAAAAGCCTTTACAGGTTGCCACTTTAGATTTACAGAAGAGGTGCTAGAATTGCTGCCCATGAGCTGACGAATGCACACATGTGAGCGCAGGGCAGGGACATTTTATTTATTTATTTTTACTTCCTTGCAGGGGTGGACTGTCAACTCATGGGGGCCCTGGGCAATAGGGGATCATGGGGCCCCTGTGTCCTTGCCCAAACTCAAAAAAGCCTATGAAAAAGGTACCCGGTGTATCTCATGGGGCCTCTTACTGACCCCGGGCCCTCGGGCAGTATCCGAGTTTCCAAATGGTCAGTCCACCCCTGCTTCCTTGCTATGTACAGTGGTTTTGCACAGAGCAGCCTGGATCCTCCTGTCGGGTCCCCCAACAGCAAGCAGCTTGGTATGGGGGCACCCGCTGCCCCGTGTGTCCTTTCACATGGAGCTGCAGCCCGGCCCTGCCCCCTCTCTTCTCATTGGCTCACTGGCTGTGATTGACAGCAGAGGACACCAATGGCTCTCTATTCTGTCTCAGCCAGTAAGAAGAAGGAGTTCCGGGATAGCCGAGACTCCACATCGCTGGAGGCTTAGGTGATTATTGGGGGGGGGATGCTGCACAGAAAAGGTTTTTTACCTTGAGCCTTTAGAACCACTAATATTTGGTAGCACACCCCTTGGAAAAAATAACTGAACTCAATCACTTCCTGTAACCATCAATGAGTTTCTTACACCTCTCTACTGGAATTTTGGACCACTCTTCTTTTGCTAACGGCTCCTGGTATCTCAGATTGGAAGGGTTCCTTTTCCCAACTGCTGTTTTGAGATCTCTCCACAGGTGCTCTATGGGATTGAGATCTGGACTCATTGCTGACCAGTTCAGTACTCTCCAGTGCTTTGTCTGAAACCATTTCTGGGGTCTTTTTGACGTGTGCTTTGGGTCATTGTCCTGCTGTAAGACCCATGACCTCTAACAGAGACCCAACTTTCTACCACTGGGCCCTACATTGCACCCCAGAATTCTTTGATAGTCTTCAGATTTTATAATGCTATGCACACGGTCAAGACATCCAGTGCCTAAAGCATCAAAGCAACCCCAACACATCAGTGAACCTCCACCATCTGTGAATGTAGGGACTGTATTCTTTTCTTTAACCACCTCCTGTCTGGCCATTGTATATAAACGGCTGGACGGTGGCAGTGCAGGGTCGGGTGGCCGTTTATAAACCCAGGGAGTGCGCAGCACCACGATCTGGTGCCTGCTGTGTTCTCCGGACACAGTGGAACACTGATCATTATACAGGACCTCTGTGCGATGTCACGATCATGTGATCACTGATTGGCCAATCAGTGATCACATGCAGCCTTGTACCATGTGACAAGCTGTGACCAATCACAGCTCACACAGTAGTTTTCAATGGCTACAAGAATGCAGCCAGAGAGAAGGAGAAATGATTGCTTTTACAGCCTTTATGGGTGTAAAAGCAATCAGTGTAAAAAAAAAAAAAAAAAAAAATCATAATATAAAAATGTAAAAAAAAATGTGTTTAAAAATTATCATTTTTGGTCATAAACTAATTTGGGTAATTTTTTTTTTTTTTACTAAAGAGATAATGGAATACATTTTGGCCAAGATTTATGATGAAATATTATTTATTTGCAAAATTTTATAAAAAAAAAAAAAAAAACCGTTTTTTTCAAACTTTTTGGACTTTTTTATTTACATAGCAAAAACAAAATAAAAATCCCAGTAGTGAATAAATACCACCAAAATAAAGCTTTATCTGTCTCAAAAAAATGCTAAACAATTCATATGGGTACAGTGTTGCATGACCACACAATTGTCATTCAAAGTGTGATAGCACTAAAAGCTGAAAATTGGCCTGGACAGGAAGGGGGTAAAAGTGTCCGCACTTGAAGTGGTTAAAGGCCTCATTTCTTTTTCTGAAAACTGCAAAATGATGGGCTTTACCAAAATGCTGTAGTTTTGTTTCGTCTGTACACAGCACATTCTCCCAAAAAGGATATTGGCTTCCTCAGGTAGATTTTGGCAAACTCCAATCTGGCATTTTTATGTTTCTGTGTCATCAGTGGGGTCCTCCTGGGTCTCCTACCATAGCGTTCCTTTCATTCAGATGGGGATGTATAGTGCGAGCTGACACAGTTGTACCCTATGCCTGAAGGTCAGCTTGAATTTGTCTGAAAGTTGATCGAGATTCTTTATCCACCATTCGAACAACCCTACGTTGCAGTCTTTGATCAATTTTTCTCTTTCATCCACATCCAGGGAGATTAGCTACAGTGTCATGGACTGTAAACTTCTTGACAATTTTACGCACAGTGGACTCTGGAACATTAAGATCTCTGGAGATGAACTTGTAACCTTGAGACTGTCTATGCTTTTCCACAAATTTTGTTCTCAAGTCCTAGGACAAATCTTTGCTGCTCTTTCTCTTCTCCATGTGACACACAGCAGAAAGGCTGAGTACATTTTTCACTATTTTAACTTGTTACAGGTGTGATTTCTATATTGTCAGCACCTGTTAATTGATACAGATGAGTTTATTAGCAAATTACAGGAGCATAAGAAACTTGGAACACAATTATTTCTTACAATTTTGAGAAGGTGCCAATAAATTTGTCCAGTCCATTTTTGGGTTTTTGCATGGAATGTGTTGGATTTGGCTTTTGGCTCTCCACTTTTTTGTGTCATACCAATACAAACAAAAGAAATAAACATGAAAATGCCTAAACATTTGTAATTGCACTAATTTGCTTTCTGGGCGAAGTGGTACATTATCTGACAGAAATGCATGGGGTACCAATATTTTTGGCCATTACTGAATTTACTAAAACCTTTGCATTTCCATGCTCTGTGTACTGTGGGAGAACAGATATAGTGAATGCAGGGTCCTGGGTTTAGTAACACTTTAAAGGATAAGTTCACCTTTTTGAAAAAAAAAAAATATATATATATATATAATGCACATTTTTTTTGCAGGTAAAAAAGATGCACATTTATTTATTTCTTTTTCTTTTTCTAAGGAGTCTGCAGAACATTGTACCCATGATCTCAGGCTCCTGCAGACTCCCAGGATAGCTTTATGCCCATACCTCGCATAGGCAAGCAGTTACAGTATTGGAGAGCAGAAAGATTGATGCACTACGATATGGACATTCATTCACAGGAAACTTTGAATGACTGATGCAGCTGTGTGAGTGGAGTCCTGAACGACCGCATTATTTTCAAATTATGACAGTGGGTTCTGGGAGAAGATTCCCCACCCACTGGCACAGGAGGGGGCAATCATGGGGGGAGTGAGGCTGCCGATGCTGTAACATGTTACATGGTTCACCCTAAAAACTGGTGGAATGTGTGAACTGTTCCGAAGGTGAACTTTAACACTTAAAGTGCTTCTACAGGCTTAAGATTTTTTTTACTTTCAGTGTGCAGAGGCCTCCCTAATACTCCCCTGAGCCCGATCTCTGACCAGCGATGTGCACAGGAGACTCTGCTTTCCCATGTCTCCCCCTCCTCATTGGCTGAGACACAGCAGGAGCCATTGCCTCCCACTGCTGTCAATCACAGCCTGTGAGGAGGGAACGGGAGCAGAGCTGAGCCCCGCTCTGCTGTGTCTTATGGACTTATGGACGCAGAGATTGGAGCTCGGGGACAAGCATGTACCAGTGCCCCATAGCAAGCGGTTTGCTATGGGGGCACTGCTTGGGGGGGGGGAGAGCCAGAATCGCTGGCAGAAGAGGAGGATCGGGGCTGCTCTGTGCAAAACCTGCGCACAAAGCGGGTAAGTTTGACATGTTTGTTATTTTTTTTAAAAAAAGGGCTTTAGTATCACTTTAAGCTCCCATAGGGCTGTTGTCAAGGGGTTAAATTGTTTACATTGTGACAAAGTTGCTGTTGAGAAAATTAAGTGAAGATGTGCACATGAAAAAATGGGTCTGATGGTTTCTGCTTTTTGCACACCTCTGCAAAAGCTCTTTCTTTGATGTGAAAGAAATGTATCCTGACCAGAATGTCTCCGGGTACTGCCTCTGTCAGGGTTTTTGGCATTGATGTTCTATGAGCTCTGTCTATGATGAGGTCACAAGGGTGTTCTGGTGGGAGCAACGCTTTCAATATTTGTTACAAATATGGAATGATCTCAGGAGGAGAAATGGTCTAAATCTAAAATTTGTTATTCCTTCTAAACAGATCTTCCAAGCCTGTAATTTTACACTTTAGCCACTGGGTGTCAGTGTTGTGTTCTAAAAACTGTTCACCAGATCACGTGCCTATATAAATTCCCCCATCATATGTTCAGTGAGGTCAGTTCCTTCTGCTTGCTCAATATTAGATTTTTGGATTTTTGCAGAGATCAGACTGTAAATCATCTTCCTTTATTTTTTTTTAATGAGAGCAATATATCTCATTACTTGTTCTGAGGCAGACTGATCTGAGGTAGGGAAATGCATTTCTTTTATTATTTATTACAAGTACTTATATAATGCCACCAATTTTCGCAGCACTTTACACATATATTGTACATTCACATCAGTCCCTAATCCTCGAGGAGCGTACAATCTAAGGTTGCTAACTCACATTCATATATATATATATATATATATATATTAATATAAAGGGCCAAATTGTTTTTTTTTGTTTGTTTTTTTTTTTTGTTTTTTTTTTTTTTTTTTTTAAGACAAGAGCCAATTAACCTACCAGCATGTCTTTGCAAACTCCAGGCAGGTGGTGCCGTGGTTGGGATTTCCTTTAGCCACTGTGCTGAAATTAGCTAGTTCGAGTCAATTTTTCCTGCATGGTTCTGCAGCGGGCCACACCCCCACCCAAGGGTTAAATAGTTCTAAAGGGATGCAGACCCTGCAACTTTTTTTCATTAGGGCACTGAGAATACACCAGCTGATTATAATGAACCAGTCCCTCATATTAAAATTTTGCAAAGGACATGGTCAAACAAGCAGCTATTTCAACAAAAGGTAGAAATATGCCACAAAGTTTGTTGAAATCTCTATGATGTACATTGATCACCCAGAGAGGATTGTTTTGGGTTTTTTTTTTTTCTCAACAATATTGGAGTTGCTTTTAAAGTATAGCTGTCATAGGAAATATATGTAGGTTGCAATTTATGACCTAGTTTTTTGAAATGCTACTTCCATGACTGATGCTTCATAATGCTTCTGTACTTCCTGAGCCACTGGCCTGGAATTCTGACTTTTTTATAGATATAATTTAGTGACGTCTGCTCTGGGTCCGTGAATTAATAACCCTTTTACTGCCAGCGATATAGCTATTATGTTGGAAATTATACAAGCGTTTGTTTACTATTTTAGAGCAGACAATTGAAACAATCCACTGACTATATGGTGGGGGGGGGGGGAGTTGGTTGTTTGATTTTTTTTTTTTTTTTTCATTCTCTGAGTGTTTTTTCCTCCATCTCTACTGTGAAGTAATTAAAAGTTGAAACTGCCATTATTTAATTCTATGGGGTCCCTGCTGTCACAAAACAGCTGTGACACAAACCTTTCCAGCCATATTTTCTGCATGCTTTCCCTATATAACAAAAATAAAGAAAGAAACAAGTACAGTGTTTAAAATAATACATTTTAGAAAAAAGCTGCGCAATCACATACTGTATATGTCAATTTGTCTATAATAAAGTCTAAACCTGTACAGGTGTACCTCAGTTTACAAACGCCTCGGTTAACGTAATTTTCGGTTTACGAATGAAAATCCATTGAAAATAATGCCTCGGTTTACAATTTTTTTTCGCAATATGAAGTGTATGTCAGTGACAATTTTTAAATGCAATTGCAGACTTTTTTTTTTTTTCTTCACTATAGCTCACAGAATTAGCTGTCACTTTCCCCGGAGTTAAAGGAAACTTTCTTTTAAGAAACTAAAAGGAAACATTGTTTCTTTTAACTGTGGGGGAAATAAACTAAAAGGAAACTTTCTCTTTTAGCTGGGGGAAAGTGACAGCTGAATCTCTGAGCTGTGTGAAGAAAAAAAAATCGGTAATTACTGTACATTTAAAAACCGCACCATAATAAAAAAACGGCTTGCGGTCCCCCCTCCCATCCATACCACTCCCTTTGGGTCTGGTATGGATTTTGAGGGAAACTCCCACGCCAAAATGTAAAAAAAAAAAAAATGGCGTGGGAGGGTCCCCCCCAAAATCCATGCCAGACCCTTATCCGAGCATGCAGCCGGCAGGTCAGGAAAGACGGGGGGCTCCTGCAGACTCCCACAACCACCGGCCAAGATTGTGGGGAAGAGGCCCTTGTCCCCATCAACATGGGGACAAGGCGCTTTGGGGGGGCAGCCCCCCCCCATGTTGAGGGCTCAGATAAGGGTCTGGTATGGATTTTGGTGGGGACCCCCACGCCATTTTTTTTATTTAATTTTGGTGTGGGAGTTCCCCTCAAAATCCATACCAGACCCGAAGGGCTTGGTATGGATGAGAGGGGGGACCCCACGCCGTTTTTTACATAATTTTTTTAATTGCCAGTGCTTCTGTTACATTCAGCTGTCAGTGGGGAACCCTGCTGACAGCTGAAACATTAACACATGATTGTCACTACTACAGTACCGCATGACTTGATAAAATAACTTGTGGTATTTTAGTAGCGTTTTACTTTTTTTCTTACCTCCATAACGGATTAATTGGAGTTCAATGCATTCCTATGGGAATCGGCATTTCGGTTTACAAATTTTTCGCTATACGAAACGTCCCGCAGAACTAAATAAATTCGTAAACTGAGGTATGCCTGTAAACTTATTTAGATGGGCAAATAGAGTAGAGTTGTCACATTTACAGGTGAAATCAAAATACCCTATTAGGTTTAAGATTCGTAAATAAGTGTTCTACTGAAAGAAGGGAGCCTTCTACAAAAACATGCTCACTCTAAATGATAAATAAAATTGGACCTAGGTTGAACCTACTTCTCCATTCATACAAGCATTAATTTAGAAGATACATTTCCTAAGGTATAAATTAATGATTGGACAATTCCCAACAGGTGCTGTTATAAGTTCCTTTATTTATTATTTTCTAAAAATGACATAAAAAACAGGCCAAACAAGTAATAAAAAATACTGATTCTACTAGATATGTTCTGAAAATCCTCCATGCTTCAATGACCTCTGGTTATGAAGTGGTTAAAAACTGCAATCAGTATTTGTATAACGGAGCACTTTGAAATTCAAAGCTCTCAGGGTGCTCTGTAAGGACTTGTAGGCATATCTAGGTTCAACGTGTGCACAAGAAGTATTTTTGGATTAAGGTATTGTAACGGAACCGGACCCCGACTGCACTAGGGTATTTCTGTTAGACTCCTGCTTCCCTGTCCGAACACAGATCCACGGACACCATTCTTGAACAAAAACCAGGAAATAGACTGCTTTATTTTAACACAGACACAAGATATATACATTTAAGGGAACAATTCTCCCCTCCCTGCATAAGGACACAGGGCGGGGCAAACCAAATCTAGCAACAACAAACACATCAGCAGACACCCCCCACTAAGCCACTACACAAACACATACATCCCATAATAGTTTGCTCCCAAGCAAGACACACAATAGAACAATGGGATGCAATCACATAACACCAAACAATCCACAACCCCCACCTATCTCCTATACATGTCTACACAATATCAGGACATTTCACCCTGCACCCCTAACAGGCACAGGGTGACTTACACATAAGAGGGATATGGGGAGCTGAGACAGGGGTCTCCCCACCCCTAAAAAAGTGAGCTGTGTTCCATGGGCTCCCCGCCCAAAGTCACTCCTGTCACAGGTATCTTGTTGGTTTTATGTATTTCATCCTTCCTTGTTTTTCTTTTTTTTTTTTCAGGGACGGCTTTATGATTCCACAATAGGTGATGAAAGTACATGGACTTTAGGTAAGCAATGTTTTCTAAATGATATATTCACTCATGCAGCTAGCTCTTGGTCAAATTCTCACAGTGGTCACACTTCCTATAGTGTTTTAAAACTGATCTCTAGCTTTTAGTGAAGTTTAAATAGTTTGTTTGGATCAAACAACAAACTATTTACTTCACTAAGACATGCAACGTCTTTCAGTGCTGTATGAACTGTATGTAGCCTCAGCTGCATACAGAATACAGCTCTGTGTTTCGGTAGTGGGATAGGAACTTCCTGTCCCATTTCTGGAACAAAATCGAGTCAGGGTGAGTGGCACTCAGCCTTTTACAGAGAGCTTTGTATTTGATTGTGATGTCATTAGCCTGTCTGTCTGACTCTGCCATTCAGAGAATGCTTTGTATTCATTCATAGAATATAAAGCTCCCTGTGAAAGGTTGAGTGCTGCTGAGCCTGACTGGATTTGGTTTCAGGAGTGGGACGGGAAGATTTTGTCCTGCTGCTGGAGCACAGCACTGTATACTGTATGTATTGCATTGAATTAAGGGGGGCTTTTGTCTAGCCTCTATTTACACCTAAGCATTTCTTGCTTGCTTCCTTATGCTTGACTACACCTGACTATGCAGAAACCCATCCTTTTCTAATGGTTCCTGTACCCTAGTCTGCTCCATACGCTTGAAAAAGCCTAGGAAATAAACTCCTGAAGCTTAGTACACATGTGCAAAAAAAAAAAGCTTGAAAATCACCAGGAATACTGCTCAGATGTGAATGCAGGCTTAACATAACATTTTAATGCCCCCATGGCTAATTTCTTTTTCTTTTCTTTACAGAGGACAAAAAACTTATACGAATAGTATTAACCAAGTCCAACCGGGATGCAGGCAATTGCTGGCCTTCCCTACTGGAAGGAGAATATTCTGCTGATCCGTGGCTTCAGGATCAGATGCAAAAGAAGCTAACATTAGAAAGATTTCAAAGAGAGGTATTGTCTACTCTTTATCACAGATTTTCCCTTTTAAGCTTTTAAGTTGCTTATTTCAAACACAATATGTATATTTGAATTAAATAATGAAGCATTGTGCAAACTGCACATTTGAGATATGTAAATGGAGGAATGTAGCGCTACTCACACTAAACACTATACATAGTGCATATATCCACAAAAATATATAAGTAACAAATTGTGTATCAATAAGTGAAACAAATCTAAATAATCAAATTGACTAATTCAGTGCCAACTTTGGTGAAATCATGCAAAAAATTTCATCTAGTGACACCAATAAATGTGAAAAAAAACTATAACGCACCAGCAGTGATGGTGACTGATAATAATTGATGCTTCCAGCTGCTAAAGATGCATAATATATACAACACTCCAAATAATAGTGCCTATTAAAGTATACATAAAAATACATAAATGAAGAAACGTGTACATATACACACATATATATCTATACCCCAACTCAGTGAAAAACAATAAATAGAATCAATGTGCATACACGTGAACAAATTCAGTGCACCGCACACAGAAAATAATAAATAACAAAATTGACTATTCTGTGCTCATAAAGTCCAAAACATATGGATGACAACACTCAGATGAAAAAACGATAACACTCGTGCTGTTATTTGTGTGAACGTGGATTTGGTTGTTGACATAAGACAATCGACCACTAGCTAGATAAGCCTCTCACCTTGCGGGTCTAAGCGCTTATAAGGATCTTTCTCACAGATCCTTCAAGTCTGCTGTCACTCCAGGGATCTGCTCCCACCGCACACAAATCTCCCTCAAGGGATCAGCACTCCAATAATGGCTCCTCTCCAGGAAAGATCAAATGCAGCGCCAATATCTCATTCCTTCATTTACATGTTTAATAAGATCATTGGTATATGATTTAAGGTTAGCAGCTTCTCCAAGTTAGTTAGTGTGGGACATTTTTGAGCGCAGGAGGTTCACACCATTATCGCACATTTGAGATGCTCATATGTAGACTGTTTATTATGCCAAATAAGTACTTCTGTTTAATAGTTCTTACAGTTCCATAGCCAGGCAGATAATATTCCTGTGTTTATGATTCAGCTTATGCTTCCTGTGCCACCTGCAGGCTCAGTGGACTAAAGTGGTGATGCTGATTTTTGATCCACCAAGCAGGCTGAAGGCAGTGACATAGCACTGAAGGGTAAATTGCAAAAGAGGGTTGCCATTGGCTTTTTTCTACCGCTTCCAGTGTTGCCTTTCTATCTCCGGCCTATTAGACAGTATGGCCACTTAGCAGGCATGTCACACAGGTAGCTGTTAAGCCAATTTGGGCTATAAACTGTAGCAGAGCTGTCTGAATCAAGCTATAAATTGTAGCAAAGGTTTCTGAATCTGGCTGTGAAGTATAGAAGAGGTAGCTGAATAAGGCCATGACGTGTAGCAGAGCTGCATGCATTGAATGCCTGATTAGAGAGAAATAGTATTTTAAACATGATCTATTTAAACTGTGTATTTAGCTATTTTTCCATAACATTGACCTTTTGTTAGTCTTAAAAGCCTGCAGGAATACATTCCTGACAAGGCACAATGTACAGCAAAAAAAAGGTTTTTCAAAACATCAAAAATGTATTTTTACAAAAAGCAACCCTCTGGTTAAAGTTGTGAAATACATATTGGAACTGCCACAGCAAACTTCCTGAAAAATGCTAGCTATCTGGCTGTGTCTGACTTTGTATGTTTCAGTTGTAGTCTTGAAACAGACCATATTGAAGTCAAAGTATCAGAGTGATCTAGCATTCTCAAAGCTGAGTTCAGTGATAGCAGTCTCCATCAATCTCTCATGACAGTGTCCCTTTCTGAAACGTTTCCTAGACTGGGATGATGTCATCAGTCTGCTACAGGAAGAAAGTATTTTCTCAGCCTGCTCTCCCCAGTAATTACTTGGACTCTGCACAGGGGCGGACTGAAAACTCATGGGGCCCCCGGGCAATAGGGTATAATGGGGCCCCTATGTCCTTGCCCAAACTCAAAAAAGCCTATGAAAAAGGTACCAGGGGCATCTCACGGGGCCCCCTACTGACCCAGGGCCCTTGGCAGTGCCGGAGCTTCCAAATGGTCAGTCCGCCCCTGACTCTGCATGTAACTTTGTAGCAAGTCATAAGAAGGACTGCATCAAGGACTGATTTGTGGACTGGTGGGTAGGATACCTACTGAAGCCTGACTGGAAAACTCCCAGGGCGTTGCTAGGTGAGGCCTAGTCATTACTGCTCACTTCCTAAATCACAGGAGTGAATTCTCAGATGCTGAACTCAGAGCTACTGCGGGGGGGGGGGGGGGGGGGAGCATGTGAGGAGCTTTGATTCACAGAGAAAACTCACTCCTGTGATGGTGGAGATGAGCAGTAATGACTAGGCTTCGTTTAGCAACGTCCTGGAAGTATTCTAATCAGGCTTCATGAGGTACATAAATGGCCTACACCTGTAGCAAGGAAATGATTCAACTTTAGTCAGAGACACACAGTTTATTATCCAGAGACACCACGGGGTTTATTTACTAAAGCTGGAGAGTCCAAAATCAGACTCCCTTCTGCATAGAAACCAATCAGCTTCTAACCTCAGCTTGTTCAATGAAGCTTTGGCAATGAAACCTGGAAGCTGATTGGTTTCTATGCAGAAGTTGAGTCTGATTTTGCGCACTCCAGCTTTAGTAAATAAACCCCCACTTGTCTGCATAGGCAGGTTTCTGGTAAAGGTGAACTAACACTTTAAGAAAATATTATGAAGCATTTAAAACGATGACAGTCAGGCAGCTGCGTAATTGATCTGGTACAAGCATAGAGATAAGGAATTCTTGCACTCATTTTAAAGCTTTTTCCAGTTCTGTGATTTAAAATGTATTGAAACCAAAAACAATCAGGCAACTTAGCATTTTCAGAAAGGGCAACAATGGTAGCCCCACACTCCTGTCATAAACACAGTTTTGTAAGATACACCAGTTGATTTAATAGGATATGCTGGAAAAAGACAAAATGTTAAAGCTGCGTTCCAGCTGTTTTTGTGTTTATTAAAAGTCAGCAGCTACAAAAAGTGTAGCTGCTGGGTTTTAATAAACACACACTTGCCTGTCCCAGCGTCCAGTGACATGCTCACCCGCACCATCCCTTCTCTCCTTCTTCTCTCTCCAGTGCTGGCGCTGGCATCTCAACTGTGGGCACCAGGCTGTGACAGCTTGCAGCTTCACAGCTGGGTGCCCACTGCATATGTGCGAGTCGTGCTGCACATCATGATTGGTCCAAAGGTTTCCAGGAGACTGCAGGAGAAAGGAGGTGGCCAAACTTCTGGCTCACTTTGCTGCAGCGAACTGAGCTGGAAGTGGGAGCAGGTACCTGTCAAAACCAGGCATCCTCCCCCCCCCCCCCCCCCCCAAAAAGGTGCCAAATATGGCAGTGGAGGGGGGGAGGAGCTAAACAAGCAGAGCTTTCACTTTTGGGTTGAAATCAGCTTTAATGATCAAGCCGGTTTTTCTAGATTCTGTCAGATACTCTAATTACTGTCTTGTTTGCTTTTAGAGAGCACAGGGTATTCCAGCTGATATATAGGCTTTTTATTTTCAAATCACGTGAGAGGAATATAGGCTTGGTATTTTGTCACGTGAGAGGAATGTTAATGTACTTGGTGTTCTGTCCTCCTCGCTGTGTGTGTAACTCGACATGCAGCTAAACCCTCTAATTCTGCTAAATGCCAGACTGAATGTAATCTTGAAGCTTTAGTAACACAATTAGGTGGGTGAAACTATTTGGAAAAACCGGTAAAGAAGTACATATAATCAATATATGAATGTACAAGCACAATGAAATGATTAAGCTTCGGATGGCAATAAATCAATGCTCATCAGCGATGTTGCCTGTAGGGGATGTAGGTTCGTCCTCAGTTTCTGCTCCAATGGCTGGTTCCTTCTCTCTCAGTTTCTAAGATGGAGTCTGAGCTCCAAGAATGCACCTGTCCCTTTTTTTTCTCAGAATAATGGAAATGTGTATTAACTCCTTAGCTCTTATCTTAACAGTGTCTAGTTTATGTAAAACCGTAAATTTACTGCAGGTTTCATCTAGTAGCCGAATTTAATATTGCAGGCTGAATTTCCCTGCTGGAGGCAGAACACTTAATGATGCTTACAAATGTTTTGTCCCCTGCAAACCTACCCTGAATCCTACGTTTCTGTGGGGTGATACGAAATGGAAGGTGGGGGGGTAACACCACATGTATTTTCCCTCTCCACAAACAGGGAGGGAGATAATTGTGTGGCTTGCTGTCCAGAACAATAATAATTAAAAAAAAAAAAAAACCCTGACACTTCTTGTTTGAAAATAAAATGTGTACAATTTATTCAGTTACAGTTGGTATGGCCACAAAGATGCAACTGCCACTTGCAGTTTTGTCTACATGAAAGTGATATATAAGCTGTCAGGAGCCAGCTGTCCCAATGAATCCAGCCAATCTTGCATTTGTAGATCACGGTTGCTGCATTTATAATGATGTCTATGAATTTTGAAGAAATGGCAATTATACACTGAGAGCAGCATTTGTCCGTTCCTCAACCATGCAGATTCCAGCCTGAATTGGGTAGGGGTGGTGTGGAGGATGCGCAGTTGGTTTCTTGAATTCCCTGGTGAATCAGTAATCATTCAGACCTCTTACCCTTTCTACTCCAATGTGTGTAAGAGCTGATTCACAGATGTGCGTTGCGGATTCAAGCTCAGGTTTCACACCTAATTGACACAGTAGTTGTTCAGTGGTTCAAGTCAGGTTTACATCAGGATCAGGTCAGGACTTTATCCTTTTCACAACTGTGCGGTTTGGAAACAGTTCCCATTAAAGTCAATAGCCTGTAGTCCACATCTGAACCGGACCACGCTGCTCAGAAATCGTACAGGACTCTTTCAATCCGCACTGAATCCGCACTGCCAGTGCACTGGACATATGTGAATATGCACCATAGGAAGCAATGTTATTTCACACGTCATGCAGATTGAATGCAGTTCAAAGCGCATCCAATCTGCATATATGTGAACTGGCACGAATATAGAAAAAAAAGTTACAAATTATTTTTTGCTTATAATTTATCAAGAACGCTCACCATATCATCATCTGCATGGATCCAAAATGAGGAAAGAAAAATACATAGTTCACCTTATTAGTTATTATACCAGATATTGTGTTCGAGCCAGTGCTGGCAAGGTGCCCTTCCCCGGAGTTCCCTATATCCTCAAAACCATACTTCAGCCCAGAATCTTGCTGACTTCTAATTTTGAAGTCCAGTGATGGACGGATATAAAGGAGACTTGACACGGGACTAATTTAGAGATTGCTGAATTCCTTTGCTTAAGGGCCTACATCCTTTGGGAATAGGTAATATGACTGACCAGGTATAAAATGTGAAAGGAAAACATGCTCCAAAGGCAGGGTTAACTTACAGTAAAAAGTCTACACACCCCTGTTAAAATGTCAGGTTTCTGTGATATAAAAAAATTGAGACAAAGAAAAAATAATTTCAGAACTTTTTCCCTCTTTTAATGTGACCTATAAACTGTACAACTCAGTTGAACAACAAACTAAAATCTTTTAGGTGGAGTGAAGTAAAAATTAAAAATAAAATATGGTTGCATAAGTGTGCACACCCTTAAGCTAATACTTTGTTGAAGCACTGTTTGATTTTATTACAGCACTCAGTCTTTTTGGGTATGAGCCTATCAGCATGGCACATCTTGACTTGTCAATATTTGCCCACTCTTCCTTGCAAAAACACTCCAAATCTGTCAGATCTACTGTGCAGCCCTCTTCAGATCACCCCACAGATTTTCAATCGGATTCAGGTCTGGGCTCTGGTTGGGCCATTCCAAAACTTCAACCACTTCAAGTCCGGACACTTTCACCCCCTTCCTGTCCAGGACAATTTTCAGCTTTCAGCGCTATCACATTTTGAATGACAACTGCGCGGTCATGCAACACTGTACCCATATGAATTTTTTTAGCATTTTTGTGAGACAGATAAAGCTTTATTTTGGTGGTATTTATTCACCACTGGGATTTTTATTTTTTTTGCTATATAAATGAAAAAGCCCAAAATCTGGAGAAGTCCAAATCTCCATGAGTGTTTTTATTACAAACTCTATCCACTTGCTGACCAGTCACGTAACTAGTACGTCACTGGCCTTCAAGTGGTTGTACCGTTATTCACAGCCGACGGTCGGCTTTCTTGTAATGGCACTCAGAGTGGCTAGCTAGCTGCTCGATTGCTGTTACAAACAGCGGGAGGAGACTCCCTCCTCCTTTCGCCGCTTTCGTGCTTGTGCAAAAAGGCGATCCACACGCTTTCGAACAACAATCGTTCCACACATGTGGGGTATCTTCGCAAATGTAAGATCATGGGCAGTAATTCTAGCACCAGACCTCCTCTGTAAATCTTTAGATAGTGGTAACCTGTAAAGGCTTTTAAAGCATCACCAATATATATAACTGGGGGTTCTAAGTAATTTTGTAGCAAAAAAAGAAATGATTGTTACATGTAAAAAAGTAGCTATACATAAAGCAAATGCTGTATAAATTACTGACATATGCATTTCACCTCTTTCAGAACCCTGGCTTTGACTTCAGTGGAGCAGAAATCTCAGGAAACTACAGTAAAGGTGGACCTGACTTCTCTGGTTTACAAAATTAATCCTGTTCTATTGTGAACACCAATTAAAGTTATCTAATTATATTTTTTATATTTGCAAATAAGATTTTGGAAATATTTTTATTCAGAGTCCTCTACCATACATTTTTACTTGTCCAAACATTTTCTAGTAAAGTGAAGTGGTTTGTTCATAATCTGAACTTTTATCATTTGTTGTTCCTCATATTTTCAAGTGCTTCCTGAACCTAAGAACAGTGTCTTAATGCTATAATAGCGCTTATTATACAATAACATTATACTGTTTGCATGTACTGTCACAAAAAAATGTGTGAATCTTAGATGAAAACATTGATAAACAGACCCCCCCCATATAAACTTTTGTTCTCTGAATTTAGAGGGTGAAGGGCTTTGTAAGGTCTGGACCTTCTCAGTAACCTGATTCTCTAAGAAAGACATGTTTGTGCTACAGAGTATAGGACTATCCATGTATCAGAAGTCTTTTCCCAAGTAAGCATTCTATGTCAGGAGGCCAGCTTCTAACTGAAACGTTTCTGACTTTTATTAGATTCTTTGCATTCTGTATAAGTTAAGATGCTCTTGGCTGAATAATCCAAAAAAGTATCAGAACAAAGCTGTAAGGTATTGGTTGCTCAAGAAGACCTGTGTGGTTTAATATAGCCAAATTCATTTCACAAGATAGCTATAACAAATATTCATTCTCCCTTCACCAATAAAATGACTTTATTGTCACATTGGTAAACATACATACTGTCTGGATATCCACATAGCACCCTCACAAAAGATTCCCAGTGTACAACCAGGGAGCACTCAACTTGGTTATTAAGAACAGTGACAGGGAAGACAATGATGTGGTGTTACTGATTTAAGAAATGTATAAAAGGTAGGTCAACCGACTGGTAAGTGAAAAATGTACACATTTCCTTCCTGACCAGGCCATTGTTTGTGATACGGCGCTGCATTATTTTATGTCATTTTTTTCCCCCCACAAATAGAGATTTTTTTTCTTTGGTATTTGATTGCCTCAAATAAAAGTGTTTTTTATTTGAGGCGATCACATACCAAAGAAAAAAAATATTGTTTTTTTCTCAAGATGGTCTGTGTTAGACCATCTTGAGAAAAAAACAATATTTTTTACTTTTTGCTATTAAACATGTCCAGTAAAAAAAAAAACCCTTAAAAAATCAAATTTAGGCCAAAATGTATTCTGCTACATGTCTTTGCTAAAAAAAATTAAAAAAATCTCAATATGTGTAAAATAATTGGTTAACGTGAAAGTTATAGTTTCTACAAATGGCGGTATAGTTACTATATATTTTATATATATATATATATATATATATATATATATATATATATAGTAATGGCATCAGTGTCTTTGAATCTCCAGAAACTGTACTGCTTGGGAAGGCATATATCATACAATGGTTCCCGAACATCCAGCACCCAGTATATTCAGCCTGTGTATAGGTAGCAAGATGTCTGCTATCCACGTCTGATGCTAGAACTTCGGATGCGCTCCACTGTCCGGAAACCATGTGACTGGAATTGTGTCACTAAGCCTCAATGTTTTTCAACTTAATTGGTCATCCTCAGGAAACGTCGGACATGGAGACATTTTGAAGTTTTGTCTTAAAAGGAACTACTGTTTTTAGGCGTAAGCTACCAACAAGTTAGCAGTGCTTTAATCTTATGTATGCCTGCACCTGAGACTTTGGTGACCTATAGAGAACCACCTCCTCCCAATGTGCCTTAGCCATGTGGCATTGTGGCTGAGGTACACTGATGTATTGTGGAAAGGTTCTGAGTTGCAATTGAAAAAATTTATGATGTGACTTAAAGGATAAGTTCACCTTCTGTAACATGTTAGGGTGTAAAAAGTTACTTTGGAGCAGTCCCTGGTGAGCGCTGTTGATCGCCCCTATGGTTCATTGATTCTTCCTGCTCTTCAGTAACTGTCTGCCTGTATGGAGGTCTGTACTATACTGTCTGTGTACAGCTGTACTGTGTCTGCAGGAGCCTGACATTGCACCCACTTTGCATTGCAGGTTGCAATGTAAAGAAAAAAAATGCACATTTTATTTTACCTGCAAAATCATGTGCAGGTATTTTATTTATAAAAAGTGAACTTGGCTTTTAATGAAAAAGAGAGAAATATAGAACTAACCTTCATGATGGACAAGGTACGTATTCTATTCTTGGACCTAATGGTGGCCATTGAAGGAGAGACTGTAATAAAACTTACCATAAGGTAGTGACGAATACACTTCTTCAGGCCTCTCATACAGGGCACCCTAAGAGGCCAATTCCTATGAATTTAACAAAACTGTACCTGCTTCAAGCACTTAATAGAGGAAGCCCTTGAAATGTATGTAAGGTTTAGAGAGAGAGGGGGTGCTTGCATAATTACAGGAAAGCAGGAATTACAGGAATTAAGAAGCAGGAAATAGGCATTTGAAGATGACAGGAAAAATGATTTGGCCCAAAAATGGAGGAAAAGCAGGTAATGTATGATCACTCAATGTGGGGCACAATGGCATGAGGTAAAGCAAATGTTGACAAAACATTGGCATATGCTGACACATTGTCCTCAAACGATTGATAGTAGCATGGCATGCCAAGAATCTGAGTGATCATTTGATGCAGTTTAGCTAAAAAAAAATCTGTGGTAGTAAAAGGGATGTTTGTACGAGAACACTGTCAAGTCTGCTCCAAGTGGACAAGACAAAGGAATGTACTAATGGGGACAGTACCAAGACATTTAAAATGGCTGTTTTATTAACTGTTCAGCTGATAAAGTGATGTTTATGCTGGGATGTCCATTCAAGAAATACTATGTGGGTAGAACCAAAGGTTAACTGAGTTATGATTGGGGAACACACCAAAAGTGTTAAAAGTAATGTCAAACATATCCTTCTAGCCCAAGTGGGGGGGGGGGGTTGAAAGTGAAGGAGATCTACGTGTTGAATTCAACCCCAAAAAAGGATGCTTTAAATCGGTTCTGCTACATAAAGAAAAAATATGGACTTGATCAGTACTGGTGTACTGACGTCTCATGTCTTGATGCCTTAAAACACCAGAACAGAACATATACAACCCCCCCAACTGACCCCCTTTTTTTAGAAAGTAGACAATCCAAGGTATTTAGTAAGAATCATGACAAGTTTTTTGAAGTTGTCATTTTTTTGTCACAATTTTTTGGAAAATGAAGAAATTATCTTTTTTTTTTTTTTTTCTTTTTTACATATGGTCACTGGTGCAATGCAGTAGCGTCGTCATATCACTGGTGTGGTATTGAGTGGGGATACTGACTGGTGGCAGTATATAAATAAAAATGACAGCAGTCACGTGGTACCGGGACAGTGAGCAAAGCTGATGATAGATCGCCCAGCAGTACTAGACAGGGAGAATGTCGCATAATGTCTTCCAAGATCTAGAAAGCTCCCTCTCGGCCATTCATTGAAAATAGGGTGGGTGGGTGGGAAGCAGAAGTTTGGAACCTCGGAGCTGTAATTTGTAGATTGGAAGACTAAAGGGAAAAAACTGTGTTTTAGACCATAAAAGAGTGGTGTACTAAAGGAGAAAATTCAAGACTGACCCTCAAATGCAGTAAGTAAACAAAATTTTTCCGTTTATTAAATTATTTCTAAGATAGAATGCTTACTAAGTGTGAAGATAGTGTCAGTTCTGAAAAAGTGAAAAGATGGGTGTTTAAAATGTATTAAGAGTCATGATGGTCCCTACAAATTACAGAAAAATGTAAGCAGACATGAACCTTAAAGTGGAGTTCCAGGCTCCCCCAAAAAATTTTTTAAAGTCAGCAGCTACAAATACTGAAGCTGCAGACTTTCAATATAAGGACACTTACCTGTCTAGTGATCTAGCGATCGATGTACTCACCCGAGCCGATTCTTCAATCTGCTTCGGGTGCAGGTGCCAGCATCTCAAGTAAGGGAGAAACCAGCAGCCATTTTCCTACCGTGCATGTGTGAAGTGTGCTGTGCTCTGTGCATGACCTATGAAGTGTCCCAGAAAGGTGCAGGGGAAGGAGGGGGGCTGAACTTACACAGAACTCCCCTCTCCCCCCCCCCCCCCCCCAAAAAAAAAAAAATAAAGTGCCAAATGAGGCAGTGGAGGGGGGGGGAAGATGCAATCAAGCGGAACTTCCCCTATGCGCAAAGTTCTAATTTAATGAGAGAGTTTTAAGAGAAAAAAGGTTTTTGAAAAGCAAAATTTCAGAAAAATGTCATGTTTAGCTTTAGAAGATTTAAAGTGGTTGTAACGGCTCAAGGTTTTTTACCTTCATGCATAGAATGCATGAAGATTAAAATTCTTATGTGTGCAGCAGTGCCCCCAGCCCCTCAATACTTACCTGAGCCCCATCGCAATCCAGTAATGTGCATGATAGCCTCGGCTGTCCTGGGTCTCTGCCTCCTCATTGGCTCCTGCTGCTGTCAATTGCAGCCAGTCAGCCAATGAGGAGAGAGAGGGACAGGGCCAAGCCACGCCTCCATGCATGAATGGACACACAGAGCAGCAGCTCGAAAACATTCCTGCTCGGGTGCCCCCATAGCAAGCTGCTTTCTATGGGGGTACCCGACAGAAAGGAGCCAGGAGTGCCGACAGGGGACCCGAGAAGGGGAGGTTCGGAGCCATTCTATGTAAAACCGCTGCAAAGAGCAAGTAAGTATTTCATGTTTGTTATTTTACAAAAATAAAAAAATTAACCTTTAGTATCACTTTAATTAGGGGTAAAGGCAATGAAATTGCCAAGTTGTGAAAAGTTACAAAACCAGAAACTGACAATGCCAGTTTAAAATTGCATGCAGTTACTATAGAAGTATAGGAGAGCATTGATTGTGATCGGTTATCAGAAGAAAATGAGAAGTTGAAATTAAGAATTGATAAATTAGAGGGAAATTCACAGAAAAGCAGATATGCATCAAATATAAAATTCAGCCACTGTCCCTCGGTCCGGTGGTGTCTTCACCATGGCTGGTTTCACTGGTCGTTATCTCTCCTCT